ATGGAAAAGCAAAAAACTGAAGAAGTGTAAGCTCACATTACCTATGTCATACATCACTTGAAAGCTAACACCTTCTAGTTTCTGAAAGTATAAATAAAAACTGGGTGAAAACACATTGGGGTAAAACACAGCCCAAGCTGCATCAGTTCAAACATGACGTGTGAACAGAAGTAATAAAGACATGCTGGAGAATAGCCATGTCTTTTTGTATTACATTTGTTCTACATCATGTCAACCACAAATGCAGAAAATTTCAGACCACTAGCTACAACAGTTCCAGAGCACTCTGATCTTATCTTATCTGATACCGGATCACTCATAGCCAATCATCTGTTAGACCAGAGAGTTGATGTCTTTTTCTTTTTTTACATTCTATGATTGGATATTGTGCTGCAGCCAAGCAAAACTGGAAAAATAAATCTGCTCTTCGAGCCTTGTGCCTCATAAAGGAGAACAAATACGCATTTGGTTGGATGCTGCATCGGATGCCGGACAGTGCAATGATAATCCAGACTGTCTGGCCCAAAGCCGGACATCTGGCCACTCTAGAGGTGCTACTGTGCATGTGCAACTTTTAATGAGTCTATAGACAAAGAATTTTGCGCCCTTGGTAGGAAATATGTCACCAATCCGACATTGAACAAAACAGCTTTACTTGTCATTAAAGATTAAATATTTGTCTTGCACATCTAAAAATATATATCTATATATTTCAAAATATTTTAATTTTTTTTATTTGTTTTTTTTTTTTTATGTCGTGATCAAAGCCATTGGGTGGGTGAGGCAGCACCCTAGCTACCCCTCTATTGACCAGCCGCCACTGGAACAAAGTCTAGCTCGTCAGTTTTCGTTATCGTCATAAAAAAAAGGAGGGTCAAAAAAATAATTTCATCATCGTTGACAAAAGCAACACAGAATGGCACCTTGTCAAATTTAATGCCTCTATGAAGTGGCTAAATTCAGTCTATGAAAAATTAACAAACTGATCCTTCTTTTTCTGTTTTTAATTAGTGTTTATCAAATAAAGTCCCAAAACCTTAAAATACTTTCAAAGTTTTGCTCATCTATCAAGGAAAACAAAAAACTCTTCCTATTTGATTTCAATGTTTGTATTTTTAAGTGAAATTTCAGGTTGGGGTGGACAATAGTTTATAAATCAATATGTGACACAAAAAAGTTTATTTGGATAACAATAATATGACTTCAAATATTACAATGTATATTCCAGTCTATGATCGCAGCATTTGTCAGTGGGTTCGTTCCAAGTGGTATGTAATATGACCAATGGTAGTTTAGTATGTTTAATATGTGTATATAATCCACTATACGGTAAAATAAATAACTTATGGTATTTTATTAATTAATAAGGATAATGGCACAATGACAGCCCACTGCTCCCTAAGGTGATGGGTTAAATGCATAGAATTCATTTCATTGCTCTGTACTTGTGACAGTGTAATTACAATAAATTGAATTATATTATAATGAGCCTATTATGTTAAACTTTTCTTCTTCATCACCATAATGAATTCTCAGACATTCCCAATATATGTTCTATTATCATATTATATTTTTGCATCTTCAAATGTGGAGGTAAACCCTTTATTGTGAAATCTTATTCCTGTTTTGTTGTCTAAACTTTTTTGCTGCATTTTTTGATCCTATAAACCATAATCTTTTTCTTCTCCTACTTAACCATTTTGTTGGGATCTGGAGGTCTGTCCACTTTTCTCCACCAGAGGGCGTTCTAGGTCTCCTGGAGCTGGAGCTGATTGCACCACCTGTTGCTCGTTTGCTCATCAGGAGACTAGTAT